AGCTCTCTCCCCTCCCAGTGGATCACAGAGCGGGCTTGGGTCAGACTGGGAGACACCATGCTTTTCTTTGCCACGGATATCAGGACTGCAGGTCACTAGCAGGTACTCCCCCGACCCCAACACAGCTGAAATTGCACGCATCTTTGGTGCCACAGGTGGGCGGTATAAAAAACTCCAGAGCCGGCCATTAGTGGTCTGGCGGGATTGCATCAGCACCGCGGGCAGACGGGGCACAGAGAGCAAAGAAACTGCAGCTGAGTGCAGTCCCGTGAATTTTGCCTTGGAGCTGTTCTTTGGCACTGTGGGGCCGAGGAGGCGGGGTCTTTGAGTGTGCCTGAAATTGGTGGAAATCTGCAACCCTCTAACAATAGGAATCTTTCCTGAGGTTGAGCTGCGGTCTTGCAAATAAATACGTCATCAATAATAGCCTGCTCAAAGCCCTAGAAACACACCCTAGCAACACCAAGCTTTCCTTCTTCTGCTCCCACCTTCTCTGCCAATAACTTCACTCATTCAATAGAAGAAACCATATTCAGCCAATTACCATAAAACCTCCCGCTTTGAACTCTAATCCCTGTTTATGAAAAACAGAAATACATAGCCACACTACACACAGTGATTCCACCATCACAAAGAAAACAGCAGACTGACCCAACGCACCTGAATCAATCATAAAATAAAACACACCAGCTTCACCTTTTCAAAATATTAAACTATAAAACCAAGACAAAACAAATCAACATGTAACCAGCAGCTAGAGAAAACCTAAAGAGACAGTGCTCTACCAGATTCCAAGGGCTTAAGAAGAGGTTCTGCTTTCCAGTAACCCCAAGAACTCTCCGGACCTGCACTACATGACTGAAAAGGTCCTAGTTTACACCTTCTTTTTAATTTTATTTTATTATTATTATTTTCTTTCTCTCGTGGTTAACCCTGTTCCCTGTTTTTTTTTTTTCTTCCTGTTTGTTAGTTTGTTTTCTTTCTTCATTACTCTCCTTCTCTACCTTTTTTCCTCTTAGTGATCTATCCCCAGATATTGCATATTTACCTGTTTTCTTCTTCTTTTCTCCACTTTTTCTTTTTTTGGGTTACTGTTCCTGTGTGATTTCAGGGTGTATTTTTTGTCCATGTGCTTTTAGTTTTTTCGATGGTTATTCAATTGTAATTTTTGCCTAACTG